CTCGCACAGCGCCGCCGCACCACACGACCTCTCGCGCTCTAATTTCTACAAAAAATATACTCAAAACCAGTCCAGGGACGGAGTTATCCAGTAACACAAAATAAATATTTTTTTTATAATAAAAGGGGGCAAACGAGCGGCGAAAACACCGCGGTGGTCAACGACGCCCATTGACATCCGCAACACCAGAGGAACTACAGAAGCGTTGCCGGCCTTTAGGAAATGATAGGCTCACTTCTTGAAGGATCCTAAGTCGTATTGGTTTGGAAAAACCGCCGAGGACAGACCGTAAAAAAGACTAATAAAGCAAAAATGACCCCCAATTTCGTCACGCGATTTGAGATAAACTGTTTAACTACTAGTCTAGACTCCAAAAATCAAACAAATATGTGACCCAGTTGCAAGCAATACCTTTCGGATAAAAATTGAATGACTAAAATCAGTCCATTAGTGAAGTTATACCGTAACATACATAAGAAATCGAAAAAAAATATACACAGACGAATTAAGTACCTCCTTTTTTTTGTCAAGTCAGTCATAAATATAACGGTAGAGCCCTTTAAACTTCGTAATTAAGTACGGACTCGCAATACCAAGACCACAGAAGGCAAACATCAAGGTGAAGTAATTCCGTGTAGTTTTTTAACTCCCAAAAGGAGGTACTCAATGCGGCATTACGAAATATCTCCGGCACTAGTGAACCTTTTTTAAAAACACAAAAAAACGGAATTTCTACATTATTTTAGTTAAAAATAATTTGTTCAAGTTACCTCCTCATACAACTTCAGTGTATCCTCTTTATCCTGCTTCTCTTCTTCCCACATCAGCTTGTACGTGTCCACCTTCTCCTTCAGCACCATTATCTCCGTCTTCAGAACATCAATCTCACTCACTTCGTCATCTCTACTTCTCTGCATATTCTGCGTTTTATAATTCTCAAACTCTAGCTTCAATTTCTCCAATTCTTCCCTACATTTGTCATGTATGTTATCGTAACCGTCCACTTTGAATACAGTAGTTATATCTACTGGGTTACCTAGTTTGATGTTTTCAGAATTTAATTCTTTTTTTAATATATGAATTTTGTCAATCAATGTCTGTAGATATTCTGTATCCGCTAACTTCTCATTGTCTGTCTCACTTTTTTGTTGAGCTTCATCTGAAATATTATGTACCTTCATATAAGTTAACAAATATACGTTTTTATATCCTAATTTGATCAAAAAGGTGTCAAGTGTATCGCTGATCCTTTTTTTTGGTCGACATTCCGCTCTTTGATACGGAATGTCGTCCATTTGTGTGGTATGTGTGTGTTACATTACATTTAAGTAAATTTCTACGATAGGACGATAATTTGACTGTATCAATCTGAAATAGTATCTGTAAACAGTGAAAATGGTCCTTTAAGTCGGATTTCAACTAGTTATTTCGTAAACATAGTTACTTGCATCTTTAATATAATCATAACAGATATAATTTTGTATAATTAAGAAATCAAGTTAACATACCGCGCCTTGTGGCCATCTTATCCAGAAGACTGCCATTGAGGGATTCCTTCAGCTGCTGTATGGTCTGCTGGTCCCTCCTCCGCCTCACGTCGTACTCTCCTATGGTCTGTGACAACTCCGCTAGCTTTCCTTCTAGCAGCGCCACTCTCTCCTCTTGACGGGCGCAGATCTTTCTCGCAGATTCTTCTGCGCGCTTCGCTTTTATTTGTTCCTACAATCAAAGTTGTCATTTCTAACTTCAAACCGTTTTGAATACCTGCCACCTGACTCTGGCGAGATGACGAAACGACTGCTACTCATAGACAGCCTCAATTGTTCATTTGTCTACCCTTAATCGACGGAGGAGGAGACGCGCATAAAGAGGATATTTATTTATACATTAAATACATGAAATAATTATTTCATTTTATCAAACATTCACAAGAACACCCACATGTTGAATAAACATAAAAAACGTACATAATATAAATACAAATGCTACAGATACATACTGACTTAAAACATCAAACTCACTATGTTTATAATCCAAAAGTTCATATAAGAACTATATAAATATAAATTTCTTCTTTGCATGCGTCTCCTACGCTATCAAATCCACTTTTCCTTCCTATCCTTATCTTAAGAAGTAGTGGAAAGAAAAATGGACTAAAATTAGCCCTCTCCACTCTTCATTTCACTTCACTCCCGTGTTCTGTGCGGTGGTGGTATTGCATGTCCTAAAGTGCGAAGATGTTAAAGTGGACTCTACCCTTTTTATGAACTAAGGATAAAGATTAAAAATAACCAGCCACTCTTGGAGTCAACAAGTGGTTGCTGTAAGCCCCCGAGGTACCCTCACCTCCCTGATGGCGATGGAGTGCGACTGCTCCAGCAGCGCCAGCTTCTGCTGCAGGCGCACCAGCAGCGCCGGCGTCTCCACGGTGCGGGCCTCCGCGCGCTGCAGCCGCCGCTGCGACGCCTGCAGGCTGCTGCTCAGGTCCCGCACGCGCTTCTCCAGCTCCGCCTGCGACGCTGCGCGCACATTGCTCACCACTGCACCGCGGCGGGTAGGCAGGGCCCACAGCACATCCCACTTATACATTCATATATCTACAGATTTGTTGGTCTCCATATCGCTCTTAAGTATTACATCAATCTAGACGATAGAAACACCAATTTTAGATAAAGAAATATCAAATTTTCATTTCTACAATTTTTTAATTATAAGGTGACCAATGTAAATGGGCGACCATTGCAATTTGCCCAAAAATTCACAGCTATCTGTCTTGCATCATCTAGCGATAATAAACAAAGAATACGACACAGAGAAAAAGAATATTTTCCCTACCTATGTGTCCCATTCCCCAATTTACTTACCCTGTGCTTCTGTGGTGTTAACCACTTTGTCCTCTAATTTCTCCTTAGTTTTTCTTTCTGATGTCAATTTCACATGCAGCTCTCTGCACATGAGATGAATTATGTCAAAAACTTTCTATTATAAATACCTTTTTTAAACATAATATTAACATTTACTTCATCATAGCGGCATGATCTGCTCTCTCGTTCTCTCGCTCCTGGATTTCGTAAGCTATTTTAGCTTTTAAATTGCTAACTTCAGCAAGATGCTGCTGAACTAAAGTTTTCGTTTCTTCTCTCATTGACGCTAACATATTTTCATACTGAAATTATTAAATTTATCAGATTAATATTTAATATTTTACGACAAGCTGTTGCTCGCGACTTCGCCCGAAAAAATATAGCCTATGTTACTCACAGATAACTTACCTTTCTAACGGTGAAAGAATTTTCAAAATCCGCTCAGTAGTTTTTGAGTTATTTCAATACATACAAAAATACAAATCTTTCCTCTTTATATTATGAGTATTGAAGTATAGATTACATTTGTCTTACTCTTACTAATATTATAAATGTAAAAGTTTGGATGGATGTTGTTAGAGTTTGTAACCTAAACTGCTGAACAGATCTCAAATTTGGCATACATGAAGAGGATAGTCTGGAAGAACACATACGCTACTTTTGATCCCAGAAATAGTCATAGTTCTTGTGGGATACATTAATTTTTGCCTTGTTTACTTGATAACTCTGCAATGGTTCAACATATCTTATTGAAATTTGTCACAGATATAAAACAAGATCTGGAGTAAAACATGGGTTCCAATTCATCCCTACAAAATGTTAGGTTCCTGAGGGATAAGTACTTTTACATTTTAAGTATATTTTTTAATGCACTGATCAAGTCATGGGCAATTACTAGTCTTTAACATAACTGTGGATAACTTAATTTTTTTTTTCTTTTAGGACAATGATTTATGTTACCTTTTCTCTCGTAACTTTCTTGTCTGCTTGAAAAGCCTCCTCCATGCGTGACTTCTCAGCAGTCAATGTGGCAAGTGATTGCATTAGGGTTGACACAGAATTTTCTGAATCTGAGGAAAATATGTAAGGGACATGAATTATGCATATCTTATTTAACAATATAACTTATTCAAGGTGACAACAATGAAGATGTTATGAGTAGCTACTATTCAATAGAGGCCACAATAACTTCTGTTGCATAAATAAATTGCCAGTAGCCTATTGGTTAAAAGTAGTATAGTATTATTAACAGTTGCATGGTTATAGCTTCAAATCTACTACTGTACTGTAGGATAAGCTAGTTAAAATAGTGAAAAAATATTCACAAATACAATAAATACAGAGAACCAATACCTTGTCCACTAGCATTATCTTCTTTACTTAAAGCTTTCAAACTGATTTCTAAGGCCTCTTTTTCTTTAACAAGACCTTTGTATGCAGCAACGACATCTGAAAAAATAATTGTTTTTGAAATACCATTTGAACAGCAATAGAATCCTACTTGATGCTTGGTTACTGGTAAAGTTATCTTTTGTAAATGTAAATATTAATCAAATATTGAACTAAGTGGAAATTATATTTTAGATGGAAATTCAGAACATATGGTAGTATGATAGAAATGAATTCAGAAATAAATTGTTTATATTACCTCTAAGTCTGGCTTCATATCTTTTAATTTGGTCCGCTTGTTTTGTTATTGTCGAAATTAATTCCTGTTTTGATAAAGACTCCATAGTTTGGATTAAATATGAATATTTATAAACAATTACTCGTATAGTTGATTTATTACACTGCTACTCTAAAACACGAGATACAGTCTTGTGTATAGTTCTCATGTCACTTTAGTAAAAAATACCCCTGACAGTTTTCCTTTATAAAATCATTTATTTCACTTTGGAGCAGTGATTTTTTATCCATTTATACTTGTTAAAGTTATTTGCAAAAGCAAATGCAATTTTGCAACAATTAGTTGACATTGACAGATATACATAAAACGATCAAACGTCATCGTTGACCTTGACAGGGTTGCTATATCATGTCTTATTTAAAAGGTTGAAGTCGATCCTTCGATCATAAAAATGAACATTTTTTTGAAAAAAAAAAACAAATACTATTTGTATTTTACACATGCATATGTGGTCCTGCACTGATACTATTGCTGTGATTTTACTGTGTCTTTAATTATGTGGGTGATTAGGATAAATAGTAACTTTAATTAATCTTTCTAAAAGTTCTCATTTCTATTTCTTGGATTATTATAAGTGGATAAACATTTATCCGCTTTGAATCACCTATCTTGCACTGGTCCTACAAACCATATCCTGATAGCCATTCTAGAAACAAATCATCTATTTACATTGCCTTCTGGATTAATAAAGTATTTTAATTAGACTGGAATTTTGTAATTCTGGGAAACTTGTCACAAAACTTTAATATTTTTGAAACATATACATAGTATAATCTAAAACAAATGAAGTAATAAACTAAATCAAAGACCCAAGTAAATAGGTAGTGTGTCGCTGTGAGTGGGAAATGCAAATCTGGGGCAGAAAGATCGATGCCTTGTTTTATTTCAACCCCTCGTTTAACTTAACATTTCGTATCAATTTGGTATTTCACTTCTATTATTGTAAAAGTATTATTGCAATTTACATTAAAATGAGTACAGGGATGATTAACTTCTTAAAAAGATGTATGAAATAATGTGTAAAAAATAAAAAAAAAGCTTTTTGAAACACACACAACTGATATTTACTGAAACTTCATACATAGAACAATGTTAAGCGAATATTTTTAAATAATAACTTAAAAAAAACAGGGACAAACAATTTTTCGCCCTTCATTTATAGTATCCCCTAGTATCTGGTCCATATCCAGTTTGATCATCGCGGGAAGGGGTCATTGAACTTTATTTAGGGTGAACATGACTTTCCGCACCCCTCGACTAAACTGCTACTTTAATAAATGTGACCGTTCAAAATATCCTACGCAATCGAGTTTACGAATGTCTTTCCTATTCCAATTCGTCAGATTCATTCCTTTTTCTAAAATATTTTATAAACCCGAAAGAAACATCTGATTAGGTAGTGATTGCTTTACTATAACTAGCTTTCGCCCGCGACTTCCGTGTGGATTTAAAATAAAAAAAGTGAGTAGCCTAAGTGTTTTTCCAGACTATCCTCTACATCTACACCAAATTTCATCAAAACCTATTCATCAGTTTAGGCTACAAGTTCTAACAAACATCCATCCATCTAAACTTTCGCATTTATGATATTAGTAAGAAGTAATGTTTAATCCAAACTACAATAGCTAAAACGAAATACGTAAATGCAGGGCCATGTAAGGGCATCCTAAAAATAGTAAATAGGAACAAAATCTCTTGAAAAGCTAACACGCATCCAACTGTTGCCCGATTATTCCGAGGAAATCGCTTTCCATTCATCCGCAAATTGAGTCTACTCAGATAGCTCTGAATGTCAGAGTTCAAGAGGGTTTTGAGACGAGATCTAAAGAAATGGTTTCCAGTCTAAAAATAATCTGCTATAAACTCGGATTTCTTTTGATAAAGTACCATCATTATCTAGATTTAGCAAGTTAATGTAATCGTTACCACTTTTATTAAAGGTTGAATCAACCTCTTTGCCATCAGTACACATATAGAAATTTAAGACCTCTATCCTTGAAACAAAATCGACTCGTATGTTACCAAACACATTAATTTATTATTAACCCTTGCTTTTTATACATACATTAACGCTGAATCACTCATAGTCACGAACGAAACACAATTGGGGCGAAGCTAGATATTTGTTTTACACACCAAGTTGGTACAAATACATATTTCATAATAGACGCAAAATAAACGCGAGCGTTTGATAATCAAGTTTCTTTCAAAATCAATAACTTGCTTACATTATTTTGACATCCTTAATATCTCATTAAAATTTACCACAGAATTCTTCAATCTTTTGTAGTTTCTTTTTGAAATGATACATCCTGTGCGCAAAATTTCTCAATTAATAATTACGTAATAAATTCCGTCATCAGAATAATTTGCCTTTAATATAATTCCGTTTCGCGAAAACATCTTGTCAATGGCCGCGCGTTTTAACCATCAAGAGAGAGTTATAATGAACTTTCTATTCGAAGGCCGCCCGTTAGCCCGTTGCTATACTCGTTCACTTGTGCGGGCAGACTGGTGGCATGGTCATATCAAATTTTGAATTTTTATATCTCAATCGTGAAGATATCATATTCTTAGAAAGTTATCATAGAGCAATTCTTAGTTATTAAGAACTGAAGCTAGTTTTTAATTTAGCAAGGAAAATCTACACTAAGCTATAGTTTAAGTAACTCATAACGAGTATACCACATTTGGAACTGATTGGAATTGTTAAATTCGAGCTAAGAATACAGTTAAACATTTTTCGCAATGTTATTTTTTTACCTAGACATATTTCTAAATATTTGCCTTTGTTTGTTATTGTCTAGGTTGAAAGGAAACACTTTACGACACAGCAAAACTCCCCGACGCGTCGTCGCCAAGCTGTCTCGTCTCGGAGTGAGGACAAAAAATTGTACACGAAATTCTACCCGACTTCATATTGACTCGTGTGTTAATGCCTACATAATATAGAATTTCACACGTTTCACTTAATTTCAATTAACTTTATCTATCTTTAGTAAGCTTACAACTAAAATAAAGGTTTTATGGTACAAAGGAGGCTTGGCAATTGAAGGTTTAAATAAAAGAATATTTAAATATTATTGCTAATGTCGATATTTAATGTCTATATCAATATTCCCTACATCAGATTACATTCGTTGACATTTCAAAAAATTAAATGTAAGCCAAACATTTTTTTTAATACGTTATCGGCGATTTGTACTCTGTCTTACATCTCTAGTTACACACTAGGCCAAACCTTACAATACCCGAACCTGCCCTCAAATTAAAATAAACCAAAAAACAAAACTAAATTTGTTAAATAATTGTTATACAATAAATAAACACTAGACGAAAAAAAAAACTGAAAATTATTAGTTTACAAATTAACTGAAACTACGCTAAACACAAATAAAATACCACGAAATATTACAGACAAAATAAAATTAAACGGGACAGGTATAAGTTGCTAAAGCTATCTATAATTGAGATTTTTTTTTAATCAAATGAACAAACTTCAAGAATTACAAAAAAATCTATCCATGCGGTGGTCTGATAAAATATTGAAGATATCAAATCCTTTTAATTTGCTCCAATGCTTATAGAAACAATTTCTTCTCATTTTTAGATAGCATTAACAACCGCTCTGGCTAAATGTTCCTTGGTTAGTGTGAATTTCAAGTGACGGACGACACAACACAGATTATCGTAGACGTGCTGGAAATCCTTTGAGCGGTAGATTAGGGCTCCAAATAAAACTTAAGACTCCGCTAAATTGGCTACGAGGAACTGTGAACTGGAGGCGGATTTACTACTACTTAGGACATAATAAAGAAAAAAAACACACTGAGATTCCCTCCACGTAAGTTTCTATGCCACAGACGCGCCCAAAAGATTCACAACAATTCCTCAGACTATATTACTTCGAGGTATCTTTTACCTGTGACTAGTTTTTAAGCACACCACTTGCGTTGTTGCTGTGTGCTTGCAAAGGTACACTATTCTTAAGTTAACGAAACACCACACCAACAAATTTTTTAAATCAAATTCTAAACTACATTTAAATAAAGAACACAGTTTTTTTTAAATACTTATAAGTAGGTACTTAAAATTTTATGTCGCGCAAAAATTAAAACTGACTAGTTCCGTGTAGTTAAGTACTTTAAATAAATAATTAACTTTAATGAATCATTTATCCTTAGCAGTATAGAAATTAAATCACTTAATCAAAATGCGTTTAACAAGACTGTTGCTGAACCAACTGTGCACTCTCGGGGACATGATATGCATTCATCTATGAATAATTTAACTATTGAGATACTGAAACTACTCAATACCAAGATAAATCATACGGATGTTGTTTTACAGAGTAAACAATTCACCAAACTAAGTCACAAACTTACACTAATAATCAATATATATTAATAATAACATCAAATGAAATCTACTATAAATCTATTCACTATTATGACAATAAATTATTAATCATACATTACTTAAATGTAATAATAAATAGCGATTACACAATCAAATTAAGAGACAAATATCATTTCACAAAAGACAAATTTAAATCATGCTTCTGTTACTGCTTCGAGAGCAGTTCCATTTGAGTGCAGTAAGCACTCCGCCCTCAGCCACTAAACGAGAAAACCTTTGAGACTAACATTAATGCAAATTTACTTGACATACACATTAACACATTCCCCCAATACATATTCAAGACAATACAAAAATTTCCTTTTAAAATGTTGATCAACTAACTGCAGTCATTTGTGGTCCTTTTTTTATAATTTCGATTCAGATTCCTTATTCGGTTACGTCAAAAAGTCAAATATTAAAGTCAATTCCTACTTATGTTAACAAAGAAAATTTAAATGTCTTTTAATATGGATTAAAAATTATTATTAAAATGTAATTGGATTTTGAACATTTGGACATGATATAAAAATTAAGGAAGGGTAAACAAAAGTAGGAATTGAAATTATAAACATAATTTGAGATATTTTTTCACAATAAAAATCAGAATTGTAACATGTATGAATTTATAATTAAAAGATTAAATTAATCATCTTAAATTATGATTTTGTGCATTTAAATTAGATTTCCTTAACAATTAAAGTCATGGATTATAAGAGATTTTAGTCACATGTAAAGTACAACATAGGTGAAACTTATCAGAGTGGTATTTGTCATATGAATATTTAATGTAATTATTAAATCAGTCATATTTTCTGTCATCTTTGGTAGTATTCAGATACAATGAATATTGTTTATATATTTTTCTTGTATAATTATAATATTGCTGGTTTCATTTTCAAAATAATCAACTGTATTACATAATTGCACTGTTAAATACATATAATAAACTCTTCTTTTTAATATATTTTTACTTACAGTAAAATCTTTAATATTGCACTGTCAATCCTCATAAACAGTATATTGCTCAGGATCTAATTATTGTGACATAGTCCAAAATTTCTCTAAATTTCTTAATATTTATAATATTAAATTTGTGTTAAGAATTACTCTGGTATTTAACTAGATGTCATCATTAATTAAACCACTGTAGGTATGTATTTAAGAGTCATTAGATATAAAGAAATAATTAGGTCTATTTTAAAACTAAAATAATAAATTATCTTTTTACTAAATTATAGACTCATCTGGTATAGTCACACATAAAACTAAGATTTAGCAAATTTAAAATAAAAAAAAACTTTCTATCTATGCTAAATTGAATCAGTACATTTTTTGAGAAAAATATTTCCCGAGTTACAGGAGCAAATCTTTTTAAACATGGTATTCTTATTTCTTATTGGACAATTTATAAGTTATTTTAGCATCTCAGATGACTTTGATTTTGTAACAAAAAGGTTTGGCTAGCTATTTAAAATGAAAATATACAACTTATCCAATACCAGTATGTAAATGGATACATTGTTAATTAAACTGAATCCATCAATAAGTGGGACTTTCCTTTTTGCTTATATTTTATAGTGAATCATGAAACTTAACCTGCGGTAGATGGTTTGTACTTTTCTTGTATGAACACTGTTTACAATTCGGTGTCATGTCATGATTTGTGTCACAATATTTCCTAGTCAATAGTCAGTTTCCTGTGACAAACAATCATGACAGAGAAATGATCAACATTTTCGCATTAGCTACAATTTATTGACTAGAATTTGATGAGTTTAGGATTTACTCTTGTTCGTTTTGAAGCTGACCTGCAGCACCTGGCCATTCAGGGAATATCCATTCAGGGACTGGATAGCAACGACCGCCTCATCATAGTTGGTCATGGTAACAAAACCGTAACCCTTACACTTGTTAGTGGTGGGATCTCTTATTATTTTAACACACTGGACGGCACCGAATGGGCCGAAGAGCTGCCAAAGAGTACTCTCTTCAGTATCAGCTCCGATATTGTACACAAAGATGCACCAACCTGAACCTCCGAGAGCATTGCCTTGGATAAGGGGATCAGCCAATGGGGAGAATCTCTGCAGACCTTTATTTATAGCAAGGAGTGCCTTCCCTGCAGGGCCAACAAATCTACGAGTGGAATTGGGAGTCAGATAGGCTGCTAATGGCGCTAATCCTTTGTTCTGATTGCTGGGATTGTTTGCACATTTAACAGTCATTGGGCCAGTGCCTCCCGGTGGAATGGTGCCATTCAACTCACGTATAGCTGCCTCTGCTTCACAGCGCTGGTCATATCGGATGAATGCCACACCTCGTGATGGTCCCTGGAGCCCCTGATCTTCCATACCTCCTTGTAATAAATGACCGACACTTACGTTCTCATGAAGAATCCTGGAGCTGATGATCGATCCATACGGGCAGAAGAGCTTCTCCAGGTCTTGCTGGGTCATATGTTTGGGCAAGCCGGACACGTAGAGATTGGCACCTTTGATTGCGTCGGAACTAGGGCGGGCGTAAGAGACTTTTATTACTTTATTCTGCAGTCGAAGACCATTCAGGGTGTTAACAGCTTTCTCGGCGTCTTCTGCCTTGTGATAGTTGACGAACGCGTAGCCTAGACTCTGCCCGTTGAGAATGTGGTCCGGAAACACAGTTACTTTGTCTCTAATCAATTTACAACTCTCGACCTCCCCAACACTAGAGAATAATGACCGGATCTCTTCTTGGGTCATGGTTTGTGGCAAATAGTTAACAATTAAGTTCGTCTTCGATTCATTGTTGCAGGGTTGTAATTTACTACCATTTTGCGTTGGTAGATTCATGTTTCCGCAGTCGATATTGGTCATCATTTTTACTGAATACAGCGTTAACACCAAATAAGGTTAAAATCCGAAAGGTTTAAATAATGAAATACTAAGAAAGTATTCTAATAAGAAGACAGTTTTGCCCGAAACGTTAGCTCCACTTCGTATTGGTTGAAAGCATATGCAAGGAAAGAAAATCAATAAGATGCTGTGTACTCTCGTACTTATCCTGTTTTCGGAAATCCAGTACCTAATTTCGTTGAATCAAAGTATAATCGGAAACACAAATTAACGCGAGTTTATTAGATCTTACTGAGGATACGAAAGTAAAGTGAAAAGGAAATCAACCAAAAATCTATGCGACTTGCGACCTATTCTCGTAAATTCATTTCTTTCACTTCACTTTCTTTTTAAAATGTTGCCACACTAATGACATATTTTACCCAAGTATTTTGAACTCCAGGAAATGTCGATATATTTTTTTTTTATTTCTAATTCTGTGATAAAAGAGGAAAATATGATACAAGAAATAACCGTAATAAGTTATTTAATTTTGAAAATCAATATAATTTGAACTTCAACTGCAAGTTTTCAACTTTATATTAGGCAATCGATATTTTTAAATCTATTTTTCTAGGTCTTAAACTCCAACATCTGCCGTGAAAGAAAATGTGAGATCATTTATCGTACATTTCCTCAGGATAAAAAATTAAACTTTTTTTCATCTGCCAATTCCTGTGTAATTATTCAACATAAGGTAACATCAAAACAGAAGTGCCAATAGCACATTAGCCAACATGAGAGAAAAAATAGGAGCATTCACGAAGATAGTTTTCCAGGAAATGTTGCTTTCTACATGTGACTAAAATTGGCCAAATATTCAAGTATTCATCTTTTATAAGAAACATGAAATATTAAAGTACTTAAACGATTGTAATTTTTATTAAGTAAGGAAGCTGATTTTTGTTAAAGATTCAGTGTTGCCATATCGAAATAATAAATCGGTTCGGTTCAAATATAATATTTGCAATAATCACCTTCTCAAGTACGTGTGTAAAAAAATCAACTTACAACTCTGACTACATAATAATTAATTCTCTTGATTAACTAAATTAGCTCCATAATTGGCAAACTAAGGTTCGTTTTTTATCATTTGCATTACAGAGGATAACAACACTTCCACGACAGTTTTTATTTGTAAAAAGTGGCCAAGGAAATCAGATGCTAATTAGGTTCTAAAATGAATTAATACGTTGCCTACTAGAATATATTCTTGTTGAGAGCTAGCTTTCTCTATACGGGAATAATTCGTAAAACTTATGTTATATCTAAAGTATGTGGTATGTGCGCATGGAATGCTATTCCTTATTACATATTTAGAATTCCTATAGGATAAGTAATACTCCTAATATGCCATTTTATGTTTAGTACTTTGACAAAAATTCAATGTTTGGTTTGGATTACGTCTGTTTTACCTTACTTAAGGTTTAAGTACTTATAAAATAGCGAAAAATTAAAATTCATTAGACACATGTGTTTATCTTAATTTTAATGTAGAGAAATAAGTTTGGAAATGTTCAATTGACGAAGAAAAATTGTTATTTCAACTCAAAAACAAAAGTGGTTTTTACTGACTCTGTCATTGGGAACCGCACCTACACATAAATAATAGCAATTTTCACGTAATGTGTTTCGTATAGAATTGGATTTGATACTTGAAGTGAATGAGTTTATAGCGTAACTGAATTTAATTTTTATATCCAATACAAATATATATTTTGAGATAATAATTTCAATCCATAATTATGATCACCTCATTACTTATGTGAATTTTTCTTGATGTTACCATATTGTATAAATAAAACTTGGCAAATAAACTAAATCTAATCTTGATAAACCTATAATATCATTCATTCGTTACGTGATTTATTTGTGAAAGCGTAACAAATAGATTGGCAATTCCATTCACCTTTTAGTTTTGGTTCGGTGAGAATTAAAACTACGTGACACATTTATAGTGATTCATTTTGGCGCTATAATATTCAACACATTTGTAGGCGACAGTAATCCGCGGCATCACAGCGGATGTGTTCCGCCGGGTCAGGCCTTTCGCAGACAATGCCAGTTACTCATCTGATGTCGCGAACTGTCCAAGTGACACGCATTGAGCGATGAAAACAAAATACAATTTAAAAAAAACCTTGAGCAGATCCTGTCTTGAAGTTGATACTTTTGATAAAAATAAAGACTATGAAGTGTTAATTTTTCGGTTACTTAAACGCTAACCTCCAATTTCTTATAATTGTTTCATTTTATCAATTGTGTAAACTATTTCTTTTTAATTTCTATTTTACTATATTCAATTAGTAACAAAAATTGTTCTTCAACCCTCTTGTCCTATCTAACTTGTGCCATACGCCAAGCACGCGGTGAATGTAGGGTCGGTCTCAGTGCGTTCTCGGTGCGGCTGCACTCGCGGGCTTACAACACAAGCATGCGCGACTCTTGTGACGTCGTGATGTTGCGTTTGGCAACACTTTGGTTTGTCGTTAGTCCCAGCTGCGTGATGCCATTCGAAGTTTACACCCTTTTTCCACTAATCAGCTAGTCGCGCGCCTGATGTTAAGAACTATTAAATAGTTCCCACGACCTATGCATTGTAGTCGTGTGCGGATAGATGGTTTGTGAAAAAGAAGTTATTGTTACCGGGTTTAGTATGGCTTCTCTTTTCATACCTTCATTACGTGAAAGTATCGTATGAGGCGGATTATTGTTTGACATGAACTGGTGCTCAATGAAAATACAATTTTTAATTACTGATATTTATTGTGACTCAGGGTTGCTCCCTTGTCTGTAAAGGTCATTGTTATCCAATACTACTAGTATTGTTTGAATACAAAGTTTCTACGTAACCATAACTGCTATGTTTACTTTCTTGGCTTTGCTAGAAAAAATATCTAAATGTTGAAGGTGAAACGTAAGCATCGTAACTATCATGAACCTACAGCTTACTCGTGTTTCCCATGTGATGATGTAAAAAACAAACTTTGTATTATAAATTTAACGTGGCAACCCTCATAAACGGTTGCGTGTCGGCGCGTTCAAATTAGCTGTAATGAGCTTTGTTAAGTTATTTTCTGAAATTCAACCTTTCATAAAGCTGAAAATTAATCGATAAACAAACATAGTTATTAAGTAAACGCGTATAATGCCGACAACGCAAGTAATTAAGAGAGTATACTTTAAAATTTAATATATATAATGTCTAGTAATTATAAAAAGGTAAAAGATTGCGTTATATAGGCTACCTACTGAGTCAAATTCGAAAATTCTTTAGCCATTAGAAAGCTACGTTATCACTAAGTAACATAGTCCATAGTTTTAATTATCGGCAAGGTTATGTATGTGACAGAAAAGTTATGAGACATTTATACACTTAGGTGGCACTAATTGAAGCTTAAATGTTGGAAACAATTAGATGAGTTATTTGGGAATGTTTTCAACAATTAGATATATTTTCCTTAGTAAATAGTTGGTTCAAATGTCTGTCTTGCACGAAATGACTGTGAATTTTTATATGTTTTCGTATTTTAACTTGAATATAAAATTAGTTTAGGTTTCCACTGTTGCGGCGCCTTTGTATTATATCTAGCTAGAGAGGTTATTTGTAATCTTAGCAATGTAAGGGACGACTAAGTCTATTGAAAATTAAAGTAAAACCTTAAAAGCGTTAAGCTAGAACTTAAAGCAGTTGCATGTCTGCTAGGGTTAAGTTATTATCGCTCAAGTTTAGGTTTCCTTTAGTTTAAGTTTTCACATTTGTAAATGATTTTGAACACATCAAATTCCTAACAGTTGATGAGCAGAAAGACATTTCGAGGTTATATCTTGTACGAGAAAAACCTGGTGTTGTGAAAAATCACAGAAGGTTATTTCTACTTGTCGCTAGACTTCAAAAATGTTAAACAGATATAAAACTACTACAAATGAGATTATGTCAGTAGCTGCCTAGATCTAGCGGCTGGCAACACCTATGCATAAATAACTAACACTGTATAATTGCTATTTCAATGTTACCAGCCATGATGTAACTCGTAATGACGTCAATTTTGTGACAAGGTTGGTAACGCTAAGCCAATTTACCTCTATTTATACGATGTGATATTAAAAGTAAGGAAATACGTATAAATAACTTTTTATAAATTACTTAAAGGCCATAAGATAAATCATTTATTGAGTGGTAATTAAATACAGAAAGGAAAGAGGGAAGGCAAACTACTTTTATGTTTTTTATATTTAAATCTTACATGCTTGTAACATTGTGGAGGACTAAGAGACCTAAGAAGTCAATAAAATTTTCTTTTATGAGACTTTAAATTCATTGATTTTAGTGCATAATCAAAGTAGAACCACTATTACTGTAATAACTTACAAGCCACAAGTGAGGTACTTTATGTTCCTAGCATCGCATCTGTAGTTCCTCTAGTAATTAGGATGTCTATGGCGTCGTTGATCAGCTTGGTGAACCTGCCTATATAATGATGAATATACTGATATATTGTTTAAGCATTAGGCTAAGAGGTAAGTTTAATTTAAAACTTAAATTAAAGGCAGAATTAAATTTCCCAACACCATGCGTGTTGTAAGTTCTTTGTCCAACGAACAAAGAGACAAGTGGGTTGGTTATTCACACCTGTACACCGTGTAGACGGGCTGCGTCGACTGTCGACATATTTTTTTAAATATTCAACACTAAGTTTATGGTTTAATGTTACAATGATAACGTGTTCATATTTAACTAAGATGGACAAATAAAATACTTGTCAACAAGATAAAAGACGTTAATGGCCTTCGCGGTCACTTGCACACAAAGGACCTTAAACAAAGGAGTTATTTAGTAAAGGTCTTTATTACGTTGAATTGCTAAAATGTATTTCCTAAAAGGTCCTGTATATAGAGTACTAATGTAAATTATTGTGAAATAAAATTGGTAACTACAACCATAACCTTATCGCTTGTCAGCGTCTGTTCAAATATAAACATGATATTTAATGTATTATTTAGGTTATTATGACACGTGACGTCATACCAAACAAATTGCCTTATCATTTTTATCCTAATTTCCGGCTTCAGTATCTACTTCATGAATAATCTGTGGTAAATTTACATAATATATTAAAACAAAAACATATTCTCTATTGTAATTTATTTACTTTCTCTGGTAAGTTAGACTTCAGAGGTAATAAAGTGAAAAATCAATGCAATAGTTCTCCGAAACTAGACTTTTAAAAACGGTCTACGACTAAAATACTTTTATGGCCTGTCCTACCAAATTGTAAATTGTCTGATGACAATCAAACGTGTAAAATATTTAATGGCAATATCGGATTTTGTTCCCTTATTTGACAGTGACGT